TGCGATTAAGTGTAACATTGAGTGAAAGGAAGTGTAGTAGTAGTGTTTTCTCATTATTGACTTCATGACCATTTTAGAATTAAACTCAACTAAAAACATTTTAAATCTCATATAAACCAATCTGTGAGTGATATGGGTCATGTAAGCATCATTCAAGGCCGAAATTCAGTGTTTTCATGTGTTCATTACAAGTGGTACTAAAGACCCAATATCAGGTACTACTGCAATACAAAAGTGGTACTACCTTCTCTAGGTCCGGTACTACTTTTTGTAAATGTTGAGTAAAATTGAAATAATCAATTTTCCTTCACAAAAGTAGGTACTAATCGCTCAAAAACTGGTATTACGTAGAACAATATATGGTACTATTATGGCAAAAATTGGTACTAGTTTAGGAATCGTATTTTTTTTAATCCTTTATGTCTACCTTTTTCATGTGGATCGTTGTAGCTTGATTTGGATGAAAATTAGTTGAAGTTAAATTAAATAAGTAGAATTTGGAGTAGTCATGTGTGATGATTCTATGAGATTAAGTGTAACATTGAGTGAAAGGAAGTGTAGCAGCAGTGTTTTCTCATTAGTATATTGACTTCATGACCATTTTAGAATTAAACTCAACTAAAAATATTTTAAATCTCATATAAACCAATCTGTGAGTGATACGGGTCATGTAAACATTATTCGAGGTTGAAATTCAGTTGTTTTATGTGTTCACTACAAGTGGTACTAAAGACTCAATATCAGGTACTACTGCAATACAAAAGTTATACTATCCTTCTCTAGGTCCGGTACTACTTTTTGTAAATGTTGAGTAAAATTGAAATAATCAATTTTCCTTCACAAAAGTAGGTACTAATCGCTCAAAAACTGGTACTACATAGAACAATATGTGGTACTATTATGGCAAAAATTGGTACTAGTTTAGGAATCGTATTTTTTAATCCTTTATGTCTACCAATTTTTCCAAATGTTGACCGAAATTGAGGCAATCCATTTTCGTTGACCAAAAGTATGTACTAATTTATTTAAAGCAGGTACTATGGGCATAAGAAGCGGTATTATTTTTGTCAAAACTGGTACTATTTTAATGAGATTAAGTGTTGGTAGTTTTTTTTCATTAGTGTGTTGAGTTCGTGACTAATTTGCGATTAAACTTAATTAAATACATTCTAAAACTTAATTAATGTGATAATTGGATCGTTCACGCGCGTGATTTGGTTGAAAAATTGTGGAACTTAAAATATATAGGATGCCTAAAATGGTCATTATGAAGAGCTCTTACAAACTGACTAGTTAGAATTCACAGACCACTAATCAACAAAATTAACAATAAACGATCAGAGAAGAATTCCAAGGATGAACCTACATATTTAGGATGCCTAAAAAGAAATAAAAGATCCTTATATGCAAAAGACAAGATATATATATATATATATATAATATAGAAATGCAACTGACACTATGCACATAAATTATATAACATACATTCCTAAAGATTTTCTCAGGGACAAAAATGTTTTAAATCTCATATAAACTAATGGGAGAGTGATCATGGGTCATATAAACATCATTTGTGTTGTGGTATCATCCCAAGATCATAAACATATTTGAGAGAAAAACAAGTTTCTATTACTCACAAGAATAAAAACAAGAGATTTACAAACTCTAAACAAAAAACTCTCAAACACTCCACAACTCTTTCTTGGTTGTGTTTCAACGCTCTCTAGGTTGATTGATCACTCAAGGATGATTTGAATGAATGAAATATGCAAGCT